CGCCTCCTGCCCCAACACCGAGTTCTCTAAGCCCGGGGCTCAGAATCCACTTGGGAGGATGGGGCGCGGAAGGGGGTGCAGAGGGGACGGGAAATGGGGTGGTCCATCAGGAAACCGGCCCAGACCCGAAGCATGCGCCTTTACTATGGAAAAAGACCGTGGGGAGATCCATGATTTACTTTTAAAGATGGAAACCACAGAGTCAGCGGTTCTGATCTTTACGAGGTTCCATTAGGAAAAATGAATATTCTTTGTTTTCTGATTTCTGTGCAGACAGAAAAATAAAAATAAAAAATACCCCTGTCCTAACAGCTGAGAATTGTTAAAAGGAAAACAGGTGTCAGGGTGACGGAGCGCCCTGGTGTAAGGCGTGGCCTCCTCTGTGCTGGGGGGAGGAGGGGACGGGTGTCCCTCAGACTTGTGTTTGGCGAGACAAGGGAGAGGGGTGTGCTGGGGCCTCCTCCCGAGCGCAGGTCGCTGAACCTGTCCTGACGGGGCAGGGGTTGTCATACATTTAATGTCACGGATGAACTTTTGCTGAAAGTGACATACGTGAAAAGCGTCAGCGCTACAGGTATTGGGACTGGCTTGTCCCTAGTTGCCAACCACTCCGGGGCCCAGTGGAACGGTCAGCCTCCGGCCTCCGGGACCTCCAGTGGGGCCTGGGGCTGCTGCTCAGATTCCCAGGGGCCGGCGGGCGCCGCACAAAGGACAGCGGACAGGAGAGAGAAGCAACCGGCTCCTTAACTGCAAAAGGCTAACAGGCTTGACTCTGTGGATGTGAGCCACCAGCAGGGGGCGTCTCCCAGGACCCGTTTCAGGGGCCTCTCAGGAAAGGGCCAGAACTCACACCAGGAATCACCCACTGAAGCACCACCCACCCCACAGAGCTCCCGGTAGAGAAGTCCAAGGACAAAGAACCCGAAAGGATTCGGCGCTCCCACCCTGCTTACTGCCCCAGCTGCAAAGGGGTCCATGCCCACTGCCTCCCAGCCAGCTGGCTTTCCAACGCAAATCTGTCCCCAGCGTTTCCTGGTACTTCTCCATCTCCAAGGATGCAGGGCACGCCAGGTCTGACCGCTCTACCCGCTCCTGCATTCGGCCCACCCTGGGGTCCCGGCGGAAAGCCTAGGCCATGTGGCTCCTCTGGGTTCTCCCGGCCTCCTGCCCAGGGGGGCACAGCTGTTTGCTCTGCACAGCTGCCGTTCGATGGAGGTGTAAGTCCCCAGCCCTTGGGACGCACTGCCTTCTGCTGTGACCCAGTGGCAGGCACAGCCGCCGTCCTTGCCTAGATATTGAGCAAATGAAGGAGGGAAGGAGGGGGCGTGGAAGGGTACCGTGTGGATTAGGCCCCGAGTCCTGGGTGAGGACCCACCTCTGACTGGTCCCAGGTGACAGACGACACTCACAGACACAACACAGAAGCCAGACACGGATCCCCTGACTCCCCATCCCCATCAGACACCCCACTCAACCCTTTCCCTGCCCGGCTCCCCTAAGCCTGTCAGTGACCCCGATGCATTGGGTCAAGCTGTTCCCACAGAATTCTCCACCTTGGCCTCCTGCCTGTTTGGGTCAAGCTGAGCTGGGATGAACAACAGGGACTTTCCACCAGCACCACCCGGCCCCCACCCATGACCGCTGCCCCTTCCCTGATGGAGAGCTCCCCCTAGAACATGCCCACCCAGTGTCTCCCCAAAGGACACCCACACACATATCATGCAGCTGGAACCACAGGCCTTTTATAGGAGCTGAGTGGATCTTCGCAATCCCTATTTCAACTTTTCTATCCCAAGGCAACTGGCCCCTGCTGAGGGGTCCAGCCTCAGAGGGCACAGGCTGGCTCCAAGGGTCAGGGAGGCCGATAGCATGAAAGGCATCTTGGCCCAGAATCCTGCCGGCCACACTCAACCTAGGGAGCCCACCCAGCACACCCCAGGCCGCCCGGAGCCCCCTCCCATCCTGAGGCTGGTCCAGTGGCTGCACCTCCCACCTGGCCCCTGGCCCCTGGCGGCTTGTTCGTGCTGACCACCTGCTTGGCTGAGAGTGACACTTGACCACCAGACAAACTGTGCGGCAGGGCCAGCCAGTCCCCAGGCCCCACCTCTCTGCAGAGGGTCCCAGCCACACTGCCTTCCCGCAGGAGGTGTCCCTGGCCATGAGCTTGCCCGAGAAGGGTCTGGTGATCTGCTGCTGGTCAGTGTGCTAATCAGCTGGGGAGCTGCTGGTCAGTCCACACCTGAATGGTCCTGGCCAGTTTCCCAGTGACCCCTGCCCAGACCCCATGCTCACTTTAACTGGAACACAGCTCCTGCAGTCCCAACCCTACGAAAGCCAGCTGAAGTGGCCTGCTTCTTGTCCAGACAAGGCCCTCCCTCCCCACCCCTGGCCTCCTGCACCGCCCCTCCCCGTACCTCCTGAAGCCATACAGACACCAAGTCCCTCTGAGCCATAATCCCCTGTTCTCCCAACTCCTGGGCCACTCCAGCCTCTGCATTTGCCCAGGCTTTGTAAGGTGCGCTTCTCTCCCCTCTGCTGCCCCACTGCCCGGGGACGTGAGAATCCGAGCCTGGAGGCCCCCACAGCCCTGCAGTGGCCTGAATTACAGCCTGATATAGGGAGAGAGTGTGACCAGGGCAGAGCGAAGGCACAGTGGTGGCAAGCAAAGCGGCCCCCTCCCAGCCAGCACCCTCCTGAGGGGAGCGCACAAGCGGAAGCCGTTACCGCTGTCCTGTGACCTGCACGTCAGCCACCAGCCACCACTCCAACCTGGACAGAGTCGGGGCCAGGACTTCAAATCCCGGGCACCACCGCCGAGGCCCCCGCATCTCCCATGCACGCAACGACAGGCCCATGAACAGAGCCCAAAGGAAAGTGAAGTCCAACCCCTACACACACACACAACCCTGCAGCGTAACTTGCGCGCTTTGCAAAACTGAATGCAATCAGAGCGGTGTTTTTAACTCTCCGAGCTCCTGACTCGCCTCTATGCAAGTGTCTTGGGAGTGTGCCAAATGCAGTTCGATATTACTTACGTGACTTTTATCTTTCCTCTCTCGATGGTGGTATTTAGAACTGGGTCATCTTTTAACTATTTGCAATGTACCTCCAGGGGAGAGGGGGCGGGCTTTATAAATAACCTTTATTATTATGCAGGTTGATTCTGTTCCCAGCGCTGAAGGGAACGTGAAGGTACATGTCAGTGACTCATCCGCACCGGGACACTGCCGCGAACTCAGGACGGCGCGGGGTCCTTCGGGGGCTGCTGGGACCCCGCGTGCTGCTCCCTCTGCCAGGGAGGGAGCTGGGCTTCAATCACGTGAAGCCCAGGGTTTTCTCACAGGCTGACCTGGCTCCTGCATGATTTTCAAATCTGGTGCCCAAGACAGTAAAGGGGCAGGTGCAGCACCCTACTCAGGCGCCCCTACACCCCACGCAGCGGCTGCCCCAGCGCCCCACGGGCTGCTCACCTCCCACTCGGGGGCCCTGGCTGCTCAGGATGGGGGCTGGGGGCTGTGATAGACACCCCCACCCATGCCAGTCAGTGCTCCAACTTAGGTCGTCATCAGGCATCTCCTGGTCTCATCATTGGGAACCAGATGCCAAAGAGCCATGACATGGAGGGGTTTCGCTGGCTCCAGGGAACCAGGGATGAATAATTTTCAAATAAAGCCAGAAGCACACAGCAACGCCTCTCGGTGACGCCCTGTGACACCCCCATCGCCACGGTCGCGAGGCCACACGTGCCTACATCACTTGCTCAGGGTCCAGCAACCGGCTTTCTGGCTACCAGGCCTCGGTTCCCTGTTACTTTGCTTTGTTTAATTATTATTTTTTTAATCTCTTGGTAGATAATCCAGGAAGGTCTGACGGTGTCATGGTCATTAGCCAGTCCACTCGGCCTTTCTGAAAGGCATAATTTGCCCCCACTCCCGTTTTGCCCACCCGGCCGCCCTGGTGAGCTGGCCAGTGGAGCCCCGCTCTGATGGACACCACCCTAGAAGGTGTGTTTGGGGCTGTTCCCATCTGCCTCACTTCTCCTGGGACAGAACTACCAGGCTGGGGGGTCGGGGGCGGCCTGCGCGTTGCTAAGTGCAGCCCTGGGCTCCCCGCCTCCTCGAGGGCTTCATTCCTAAAGCAGGTGTAAGTAAGGCCCCTCCCCAGGAGGGCAAGCAGGTAAATACATGTGAAGGGCCTCCGATGGCGGCTGCTTCACTCTTTGAACCAAGTCCCCACCCTGTTAGCAGTTAAAGACGAGTTTCCATTGTGATTGCCTCCCTGCTCCCTTTCATCTTCTCCACCTCTGCCCGGCCCACCCCTACCTGTCCGAGGGCACCTGGAACGTTGACTCGCGTTAGGAAGTGGCACTGAGTGCATAGCAACCCCCTCCCAGCCCCCAGGGCAGCAGCCCCCTTACCTGTGCAGGGCTCCCATCGCCGGCCACCTCGGCCTGGAGTCACCAGGGGCAGGAGCACGGCGCACAGCGTCAGCAGGACAGACATGAGGGGTGTGGGTCCCAAGCTCCATCCAGGGCACGCACCTGGCCCGAGGGGAGGCAGCTGCTCCTCAGACGCCTGGGTCAGCCCTTGCCCGGGGGCCCCTGGCCGTCACTGGGATGGCCACATGCCAGGGCCTGCGGCAGGGACAGAGGTGGCCCTGGCGGCAGCCCGCGTCTAGCCGCTCTGCTGGGGAGGCAGGTGGTGCTGGCAGGTCGGGCTGCAGCCGCCCGCGTCTATCTCCTCATTTCCGCATGGGCTCGGGTCCTGAGGTGCAGGTGACAGCTGATAACATCTCCGCACGGGCCTTGATTAGTCATTGGCAAAGCACATTTTTCCCAAAGGAAAGACAGAAATAGATCGTCCAGGGGAGAGCGGAGAGCAAACCAGAAAAACTCAGAGAACCAGTTTTCCTCGCAGGTAGCGCTCCGCTGGCAGCCTTTGGGACTGAGCTCGGCCACCAGCTGGGGGCGGGGGGTGCAGCAGATCCCCGAGGGCGCTGGATGGGCTCCGCTGCAGGTGCCCCACTGTGCTGGGGTCCGACGACAGGCCCCCACGCTCTCCCGGGCCCCGGCCCCAGGTGCCCGCGCTCTGCTGGGTCCCCCGGTGGCAGCGGCAGGTCCCCACTCTCGGCAGTGGACGTCCCCCTTTTATCTGGTGCCCGGCCCTCCGGAGGGTGTGTGGGTTTGTCAACTGTTGGGTTTCAGGAATTTCCCTCCGGAGGGAAGTCAGTCCTTCAAGGGAACAGCTAATGAGAAGAGAGGCGCCCGGGGGAGGGGAGTGTGCACGTGCGTGTGCAGCGGGTGGTTTGCATCTCAAGGCCCAGGGTCACTCTGGTCTGACCTCTCCAAACCCCGACGTGAGGTGCCGCTCCAGGTGGACGGCCGTTAGGTGTGGCTGGTCTTTACAAAGCAGCCTGCCCGCCTGCCCCTCCCAACGGCTCGGGGACAGCCTGGGAGGGAGTTCCCAGCAGTTGGCAAGGGGCTTATGCCCTTGTAGGAGACCCCTGGCATCCCAGTCCCGCACTGGCAGCGGCCCTTGGGTCAGTGGGACCCCTCTCAGTGGCCCCTAAAATGCAGGGTTGCCGTGTGAGCCCCAAGCGCCCCTGGGGAACCCCAGCTCCAGGTCTGGGCAGAGGCTGCTTGGGACACAGGTGTTTGTGAAAAGCACACCCCCGAGGTTGGGGCTTGCTGGAGGGTGGAGACAGAGGCAGCAACCAGGAGAGAGACAGGCGGGGGGGGTATATGTATATGTATAGATATGTGTATATGTATATGTGTATGTGTATATATATATATTCAACAGATACTAAGAGACAGTTTTCGTCCTGGTCATATGGTCATATGGTCTCAGTTATCTGGGGTTGCATGTGAAGAGAACCTGGAAGTGGCTCTTATTACACAGAACCCCATCCCCAGCCCCAGGTGAACCCCTCCCCCCCGGACCCGCAGGCCTGGCTGGCACACAGTGTGGGGACAAAGGCTCTCTGACCCTCTGGACCTTAGGAGCTGTGAACCCCACACTCCCAGTAACAGTCATTAGAACCACTGTCTGACCAAAGGAAGGACATGGCCCCCCAGATGTGAAAGGCTGATCTTTGGGGGAAAGGCAGCTGTGTAAACTGGATAATCGAGCTTTCCTCTTCTTTCCCAATTGAGAACTTTGGGGGGTCACAGTGGCCCTGGGTGGGGCAGGAGCAGGTCAGGAGGGCAGGGGACTCCCCACAGGATGGGAGGTGTCACTTGTGCAGACCACAAACCCAGGCCCCGTCACTGTGACTCCTGTCAACCTCACCAGGTGACCCTTGACCTCCGGCTCCAAGTCTCTCACTAACCTTTAATGGGTTGATAAAAATGAGATCATGTGTCATCTTTTAACAACCAGATTTGAAGCATCAGAATTGTGGTGCCTTGAACCCTCCCAGGAAAGGTTTCCTCTGTTACATCCGACCCAGTAATGCTAGTAATGCTCTTGATGACAAACGGGGTAATTAGTGGGATCGCGTTCCTATTTTAAAATACTAACGGACATGCCTGCACGCAGAAAAGTGCTCAGAACTGCCTTCTCTAGACTGGGCCCCGTATGGCCCTGGACAAGTCACTTAATTTGCAGGCTCTGTGCCTGGTCGGGGGACCTGCATGGGAGGGAGAGCCTGCAAATTAAGTGACGGGTGCAGTCCACATACAGCAGCGTTTCTGCAGACACGCTGCCAGCACGCGGGCTCCGAGGTGCCCAGTGAGAACAGGAGACTCGGTGTGGGATTCCTCCAGGTCTCCTCCCTGGGACACACCAGCATAGCCACTCCATGAAGGTTCTGAGGCCCTCCCAACAAAGAATGCGCTTCAGGTTTCCTGCCCGTGTTCTCCATGCTGAATTCACTGCCCCCTGCCACACACTGCGGTCCCAGGAACCCATCAGACCAGCCCAGGTGTAAAGAGCAGAGCGTGGCCCTGCCACAGTGTCACAGACCAGAGCTCCTGGCACGACTGTTCAGAACCTGGTCAGACCTTCCATTGTCGGGTGTCCCCCCTGCAAGAAGCAGGCTGGCTACATGTCCTATTGGGAGCCACGACTGTTCAGAACCTGGTCAGACCTTCCGTTGTCGGGTGTCCCCCCCTCCCCCCAAGAAGCAGGCTGGCTACATGTCCTATTGGGAGCCAGACACAGCCCCGAGAGCCCCCGAAATCAGGCCAGAAGACCAGCCCACCCTGGGCCGCCCGCTGCCTTCCCATGAGAAAATAGGAAATCTCCCAAGAATTTCCCCCCAGCACATCCTGTTGCCTCCGCTGCAGACCTCTGTCTCTCTCACCTCGTTCCGCTCACTGGTGGAGAGGAGGGCCACGCCGACTCTGCTGGTACAGGGCTATTTACCCACGTGGATGAGTGTGCACCACAGGCACTCGGCTGGGGCTTCCTTATGGCGTGACCCCTGAGAGCATCATCGTGTGGCGGAAGGTGGCCGTTCGTGTGTCCCCATCTCCTCGGGGGCTGTTCAACATACCCCAGCCAGGGAATGGCGCTTTCTCTAGGAAAATGAGATGAAGTGACAGGTAAAGGAGAAATTGGAAATGATAACTCCATGTTACAAAAATAAGATGCTAAAGCCATGCACTCCCCCAGTTTGCGGTTATATGAAGTTAACCTGTCACTGATGTGGAATACTGGGGGGAAATGTGACCACGGGTCTAGATAGACTAGAATAGGTGGCAGGCTTGGACAGTGAGCAATGGCTACCTACCTGGGCTCCCACCTGGCACCCAGCGTGGGACCATCAGTCGCTGACACCTGGAGGGGTGCATGTGAGGCCCAGGGTCTCCAGGAGACGCAGGTTAGAATTCCATTTTGAAAGTGATTTCATGAGAGAGGTCTCGTGAGGTTATTGAATAAGAGAGTAAGACTTGGTTTTTCCGGTCACCAGATTTCCTCGGATCAGCAGGCCATTAACTCTTTGTCTGCTGAACAGTTGCTGCAAATATTTCATCCCTATCACCTCTTTTTTGATGCTTTGGTTTAATTGCTTTTTTTTTTTAAAGGAATGCTTTTTGGTGCTTTTGTCTTTTGCCAGGTATTTTAAGCTTTTATTTAGTCAGTAACATTTTCTTAAGACCTATGGATCTTAAAATACAATTTTTAAATGTCTCCAGGGTCTTGTTGTGTTTATGTTTCGCTCTCCATTCCGTCTGGAGCATGAGCATGAACATGGGCAATGCAGTGAGTGGGACTCCGTTTCCAGAAGCTGTCGTACACCGTTCATTAAATGCCTCCCCTTCCCCGCCACCTGGAAATGTCACATTTAGGATGGATTAGGCTCCGACATACATTGGGGTCCAGTCCATTAACCTTTGTTTTAAAATCCTTTAGTCTCTTTCCTTTGCCAGCATATTATCTCAATAACAGTCTTTATAGTAAGGGTTCATGCCTACAGATACAGGACATATGTATCAGCCTTCCCTTTGCATAAATGTATTAGCAATTCTCACATATTCTCTCTTCCATATGCACTTTAAAAATTATTGGTTCTCATCTTCACCTCCCAAACCAAAATCAAACAAACAATAAAAAACATCATAGGACTACCCACTGGCATGGTATAAGTTTGTAGATCACTTTCAGAATAATGAACATTTTTATGAAACGACATCTTCTGACTCAGTCACACATATATCTCTGTTTATTCCAATCTTGAATTAGGTTCATCAAAAAATGTTAGTGTTATTCCTGTAAATATCCTCTAAACTTACTTATATGCTATATTCTCATACGGTGTGTGAATGTGTGTGTGTCTCCAAGCTCTCTGTTCTGTTCCACTTCTCCCTGTAACTCTGCCCATTATTGCACCATAAATCCCGGTGCCGTGTTGTTAGGTGCATATATGTTTGTGACCACTATATGCTCCTGAGTTATTTCTTTCCTGGTTGGTACAGAACATTCCTCTTTATCCAAAAGGTCTTATATTTCTACAGGTTTGTTGAACGTGTTTTGCTGCTTTGGTTGTGGTGCCTTGTTCTTTTGTATCATTATAAAAACTGCACCTTTGTCTTGCTGCCCAGTGTTGGTGCTCTTTCTAATCTGGGCGGATCACTCGATGTTGCAGAAATCGACTTGCTCCATGAAGATAGCACAGCAATAAAAGATAAAGATGAACAGAGCCCGAGCCTCACCCATGCCACAAGGAGAGAGGAAGAGCGCTCAGCAAAGGGGTCTGAGGGGAGAGGAACTCGATCTGCCTGAGGCCTGTACAGACGAACTGGTAGGAGCTGGTAGAGTAAGATCCCAGTGCTGCCCTAGAATTAACGTGTTTATGAGGTGGGGTAATACCAGGGTCTCTTCTTTGCCCTTAATGTGAATGCACTTCATCCAATCAGCTGAAGACCAGAAAAAGACAGGCTCCTTCAGGAGGGAGGAAATCGGCCTTCAGACTTGAGCTGCAATACCAGCTCTTCCCTGGGTCTCCAGCCTGCCAGCCCACCCTGCGGATTTTGGACTTCGTGAACCTGCTAGCCTCCACAATCACGTGAGCCAATTCCTTCAAATATCTCTCCTGATACATAGATAGATGATGGGTAGATAATAAATAGATGAATAGATAGATGGATGGATGGATAGAGATAGATAGGTAGGTAGGTAAGTAGGTAGATAGATAAGATGAATAGAAAGATGGATGGATAGAGATAGGTAGGTAGATAGAATATATAGACATATCCATATATGGCTATGTCTC